AATATTATAGATATTTTCTTTGGTAAAGAATTCTATTCATGAAATTTACTGTTATACATTTTAATATTTAAATAAGCAAAAAAAAGCTAGAATTATAGAAAATAAGAACAAATTTGAAACAATTTAATTCAATGTTAGTAATTAAATTACTAATAAAACTGAGCACATACGAAACACAATAAAATAATGTAAACATACGAAACATACCAATTTTGTGTTTGCTTGATTTCTGTAGCTCCCAGAAACGTGCAAAAAAAATATATATATAAAAAAAAAGGTTATTGAAAACCAAACAAGGATAATCCACTTACAGGGAATAATCCCATTTGACGTCGACGCAATTCAATTCGGGAGAGTTGAAAAAAAATACCGTGATTGTGTTTAAATTGTAACCTAATTACCACTGCGAACTCAATTATCGAGCAGCTCTGGACTTCACTTCTTTTTTGTTTCATCTTAGACGTCCATCGAAATGAACGCTGTTTAGAAAAATAACAGTTTACATAATCTCATCTAAACCTTTATTATATAATTATTGCATTTGCGTTACTTATTTCTTCTACAGATATCAATATTTTTTGTTGTTCGTAAAAAAACTATTTAAAAAAAAGTAATGAAATTTTGTGATTAACGAAAAACTGCAATGTTTAAAAACAATGAAAAGAAAAAATGTTGCGTTTTTTAGATCTACTTGATATGTTACTTGACAAGTAAGTTTTTTTTTATAATTGTATATTGCTATAATATAAAAGTTTGTAATAATATTTTTACACTTGTAAATTTTGTGATCGATGTGAAATTGAAACGCATTACTTACATATTGTAGATGTACTTGGCAAGTAAATTGTTTCATAATTGTATCTAGCTATTTTGTGTAAATATTTCTATTATTATTTGTATACTAGTAAGAAGCACAGAAACTTTGTGATCGATAAAAAAAACTGAAATAATATAGGAAATAAAATAGAAAAAACTTGTTTACTTGCAATAGGTAAATAGAGAGAAAACTAATTTATTCAGGGAACTACGTTTTCTTGATATAAGGTTGAGAATCTAAAAGGCGGTTTCATCATGGCCTGTAAATTGAAGTTGCATTCAACAAATATATTGCATTTTCTACTGCCTCTTCTGATGTAATAACATTGGAAGCAATTGATGTTCTTTTTCTAAAGCCCAATACTTGTTCATCTTGTACCATATTGTTAATTTGCAAATGTCAGTGGTTATTCAAATCATGCATGCTTTGTTCAGCATTAAACAACAGAACTGTCACATCCATGCATGTATAAACTATCTCAAACCTACTCAATGCCATCAACATACATATATTACGCTGTTGTTATTCATTGCATCCCAGTTTATAGTCATAGTATTTAATATAGTCATACTACATTCTAAAATTTGCAATAATTTACTAATCTGCATCGTGAGAAGAAAATTGATCAGATTGTTAAAAAATTGAGCAATGTAGAAAAGAAAACAAATGGAAATAACAAATACTATTATTTAATCATGTAATGATTCTATCAAATTCCATTCATACATGACAAAAACATATTTTCTTGTAATGTAATTACTCTAATGGACTAAATTATTTTTTAAATTAATGTACATATTTGTATCTTCCAATTTATATTTTACTTCAAAAACAGACAATGTTGTCAATTGATATGTGTCACTTTTTTTGTTTAATGTCACCTTTAAAGTGACATACGTCATTTATAACTGTCAAAATAAACAACATTTCTAAAATTAATTTATTTCAACAAGCGAAATATGCCCAAATTATTGCGAACTTAAATTATAAAAAATCTAATAACAAATTTAATAAAACAAACATTAAATAAAACTATGATTTTAAGAAAAAAAAATTATGTCAATTTTAAATCTACTAATACACTAGTCAAGTAATTACGAATGTATAGAATATTAACCATCAATCATGATCATCTTTGACAAGGCATGTTTCATGTTGACAAGTACGTTTAATCGATAATGAATTAGTTGTTCCAATTTAATAAAACTTAAGCATATTGTTTTGAAGAATCAACGGAATGTAACAGTTGTATTTAATTCAACTTATATAAGATTGTCTGGGAAATTGATTTATTCTTACAATTCTGTAAATTTTTAACTTCTCAATAAAGGATATTAGTTTTATAACCCAAAGCGGAAAACTATATCATCTACGAGTGCGCACGACAGATGTTGACAAAAAGAGCTGAAACTGTGGAGAACTCAACGTGACGAGGGTATTTTATCTACCTACGTCTGTGCAATGTTCGTTGTTTCAGGTGGCTGGACTGCATTGCGTGCTAATAGCACCCCCGAGGTGAAAAAAATACGATGTTTAGTATAATTCCAAAACTATATCAAAAGTATATACTTTTGACGAACACAAAATGTAGTTGCTTTTTTTCTTTCTTAGTTTTTTCACCTAAAAAATCCATTTTTTATAATTTTCAACAACAAACAATTTCAATTTTTCTTTAAAATAAAAGGAAATTAAAGAATTCATAAAATGTTTCATATTTCTTGACACTAAATATTCTTATTTTTTTGTAAGCTGTAGTAAGATATTCACAGCGCAAAGTTTTCAATTAAAGTATTTACAATTTTTGTTCATATTTTCTGAAACTAGATATTCGCAATTCTTTATACAATGAGATACAATTATAAACAGACATCATGTTTTTCACAGAGCAACCTTTTCAAACATCTTTTTGTATAAACTTATTTGCTTCGAATCTTTTGAATTTCCAAGCTATGGAAAATTCCTTTCTATATTCAAGTTGAACTTCTCTTTAGCTGTAGTATATTATATTGGAAGTACGTCATCTTTTCTCGTCTAGACGTATTTCTTTCCAATTATTATTTTAATTAAAGATGAATAAAAAAATATAATAAACATTTTTTTTATGACATTAATCAATTAATTATTTTATGAGATAATTACTTAAAAAATCAAATATTAATAATATTGATTGCATCAACTAAAAATACTTATATGAAGTTTTCTGTATGATTCAGATCTAATTGTAACAAGTAAAAATTACAAGCAGAAAAAAAAAATATTTTCAATACAATTAAAAGTTTATTAAGTTTTACATATGTTTGATAAATAATGCATTATTAAGAATGAAATCAAATGTAAAAATTATAAAAATACATTAATAATTGCAAAAGCATAATAATACATTTATGAAATTTATTTAGTTTTCAATATGTGATAAACAATGAACAAATCTAATTTTAACAAAATTTAATTTAATATTTTCATCAAAACATATCTAAATATAACAAAAATAAGATTACGTAAATAATTACAGCAATATAAAATTAATATTTTAAAATTAAATGGTAAGTTTCTAATAGGTTTGATAGACGTTGAATTATTAGGAATCAAAACAGATCTAAGAATAAACTTTGAAACAACACATCTGGACAAAGCGAAAGCGGTTGAAACTAAGCAATGTGAACCGAATTTGTTGATAGAAAGAAATATAATTAAATTTAATTTAATTTATTTTTCAATTTGTTGTAAAAATTGTTAATAAATCTATCAAAGTGAAATGTGACAATTTTTCAGAACTTTATATCATATTCTTAGAAATATTGAATCTTTTTTTATTCAAAAACATCTTTTTAATTTTGTCTTCATTACTAACAAAGTTTTCGAAATTATCCACTGATAAAATCATCATATTCATTCATCCATTCAATAAATTTCTAACATCTTCATCGATATTCAATCAATACATTTCGACAACATAATTTCTAATATTTTTATCTTATTTTCTGCTTCTAGCAAAACTTTTGGCCATATTTTGCGACAAACTCAATTTCAGCAATTTTTAGAGAATTTATGTAAATAGCTAACAATAGTTTTGAAAATTTATAGACTTAGTTTTATCGAAGCTTCGTTATTAGAAGTAACATTGAGCGAAGTATGACTATAGAATAAAAACGATGAAAAACTACCACCTAAATTTCTAACATCTTCTTCATCCATATTCTCGAAACCTTTGTATGAATTTGTTGGATGTTATTTTCTTCTTGTAAAACTTTTGTCCACATTTTGCGCCAATCTCCATTTCACTATTAATTAGAGACTTTATACAATTAATTATCAATATTTTTGTATAATTATAGACTTGGTTTTATTAAAGGTAAAGTTAAGGAAGGTATGACTATAGAATAAACATGATTACAAACTAACTGAAAAACTATTGCATTCAATAAATTTCATCTTTATCTGTAGTTTTGGAACCCTCAAACTATAGATTTGGACAACATTATTTCCAATATCTTGATGTTATTAACTTTTGGCCATATTTTGCACCAAACTCCATTTAAGCACTTAATTGCGGAATTCCTTTTATTGAAGCTTCGTTATGAGAAGTAACGTTGAAGGAAGTATGATCATATTATGTCCATATTATACCTTAAATGAAACCAGCTTTAGATTATCAATGAATCTGTTGACAGGTAATTGTAAATTTAATAGTTGGTATACCTGACCACTGTTACTTAACTTATAATGTGAATGTAACATAAAATAAAATATTGAAATAAAAATAGGTATAATCAATAAAATAATTGAAAAGTATTGAAACCAAGTGGGACCAGACAACTGAATCAGACAACTTCATCAAGTGAATCAACATATGATGGTACATTTTCTGGACATTTTCTAGATAATTATAATAATGTCCCACTGAGCATGTTCAAAAGAGTTAAATTATCCGTTGAAGGCATTATGAAAATAAAAATACTCTCATTGCAACAAATCATAAAAGACATGAAATGTGTGTGTACACATCAAGCATGAAATATATGTTGCTGTTCCCGTTCTGCAACATCTGCACATTTATTAATTACTGTTCTGGTAGGCACAGTCGGTAAATAGCGGAGCGTGCGTTATGATTAATTAAATCGCTTGTACAAACTTCGAAAAGTGATGCCACATACAGAAATTACATAAAGTACAGAGTGACTGTGTTGTGTGGATGAGCGCAAAGCCGAACGGTGATTAGCGAATTCCCAGGCCGCGGGTCCCGCAGAACCTGTTACATAACAATTGTTAAATAGTGGTGGCGAACGCGTATCGATGCCATTCGTTTAACAAGCTCGCCATTGACCCAAATAGAGACATAACTCGATTCAATACGCAGCAGATTCGAAGAATTTGTCACCATGTCGTATATTCGACAGATGACAATTTTTACTTCATTATTATTTTAGTTTTTTTTTTGCCGAAATCACCTGCAACGGCAATCAGAATTTTAATCGAATAATCGGCCTGAAATCCGGCGATATTAGGGAGCGTGCGCATTCCTGGCACGGAGCTTCCTGAAGTCCAGGCTCCTGAAAACAGGCTGAAGTTTAGTGCACCGTCGCGTTTCCAAGTTCGCAGCACGCCGTTGCCTCCGTCGTCCACGCATTCCTTCAGCAACATGTAAAAAAAACTGAAAATAACAAATAAAAGGACAAAGGAATTCTCCAAACAAGTGTCGAATGTTACAATTTCCAATAACAAAAGTTCCTCTCTCCATATAAATAAAATAAAGGTAACTAAAAATAATTGGCATATAAATAATCAACCGAAATATTTATTTATATTTTGATTATCTGATACATTTCTTTCACATAATCTGTATTCCACGATGATATTTGTATCGGAAAACCCCATTTCCTCTCTTCTACCTACGCTTCATATACTCTTTCCTTTCAACTCATTGATTTTTCGTCCTGGATTGTTTACCTACCTGTTCACTGCACATTGTTTACGCAATAAATAATAATTAATAGCAAACACAATTACGGAACTATACAAATTTCCTATGCGGATTTTAGATTTATGTGACGTGAAAAAAAATCATATATTTTGAGATGATGCAGGATGTGAAATTTGCGTTTATTTTATATTTTTATTTTAGTTTGAAGCGTTTTAATAAATATTCATATGTGCTTTTTGCATGGGAATTAATATGCAAGTCGGAGTCGACATATAAATGAGCTTAAAACTTGCCAGAAATTAACTCAGATTCGTTCATTTCCGCACTCTCTGTAGAAAGAAAATAGTTGCTAATTAGTGAAATATATACGATGAGGCTTATTAAATTCTTCCTCGTTATTTTTCACTTTAAATGTTATTGCTTTTCAAAACATATAATTGCTTGACCTTGATTCTATTTAAATAGCTTATTAACTTCTATTTAGATGCTTTTTCTGATTTTTTTAATAAAAAAACATTAGTTTTTTGTAATGTAAAAGATGGACAATATTTGGAAGTAAATGAAATATTCAATCATTACTTCCCATCACAAATTCTAAAATGTAGTCATATTTTATGCAATTGCTATATAGTAAGTTTTGATTTTTTTTGATCTTATTTTCTGTTTCTAGTATAACTTACAATTTCAGCAATTGTTACAGAATTTATGCAAATAGCTAACAATAGTTTTGTAAAATTATAGAATTAGTTTTATCGAAGCTTCGTTACTAAAAGTAACATTGAAAAAAGTATTATTAAAGTTAAGGAAGGTATGACTATAGAATAACTGAAAAACAATTACATTTTTCATTCAATAAATTTCCTCTTCATCGATATTTTTTGAACCCTCAAACTATAGATTTGGACAACATTATTTCTAATATCTTGATGTTATTTCTAATATCTTGATGTTTTTTTGTAATGTAAAAGATGGACAATGTTTGGAAGTAAATGAAATATTTAATCATTACCTCCCACCATAAATTCTAAAATGTAGACATATTTTATGCAATTGCTATATAGTAAGTTGTCCTAGTTTTGATTTATTCCGAATATTATACTGCATGCATTATGAATATGTGCCAATCAAAAGTTAAAATTAGATAACACATTTCAGGTCTTCAGTTTTTGGACTATTATCAAATAGATATCATTTATTACACAAACCAATTTATTTAGTTTAAAATATACTTGAATATAACAAAAACTATTTATAACTTATATTTTCTTTCAGATTCATTTACAATTAATTTTCTAAATAATCATTTAATATTTTTCAAAATATTAGTATTTGCTCAATAAATTTATTTTTCACTATTATGATGATAAATCAATTATTTTTTTTAGACTCTTTCACAAGAAGATTCTGATCAAGTTAATGTGTTTTCTCTTTATTATTGTTTTTTGATAATTACAAGTTTTCATTAAAAAAGTTCTATATTCAAATCAGATATGGGATTTAGTATTTATCGATAGAATCTTAACTTTACTTTATAATTTCTATTAAAATTTGGTTTATTACTTACTTACTTATAATTATAGAGAAAATAAAAAAATATATTTAATAAAAATTGTATTACAAAAATTATACCTATTGATATAAATAATGAAAAATGAAGAGTAAAGTTTACATTTATTCTAACAATTACATCATAAATGTTCCATTCTTTTAAATATGTTGTAATCAATTTGATAAGAATTATTTATAAGTTTGAAGTAATTTCAACTGTGATTAATTAAAAAATAATTCATTGAATTATAAAGTTTACATTTATAATACTGAATTATTAATATGCAGTTATTATTGTTTATTGTAAAATTTGTGTTTATATGCGTACCTCATTATGTAAACATGTTTCGTTGTGCTTCGCATAATAACATTTCCATAGAGATGCGAATACAATTGAGAATCTTTTACATAACAATGGTGTAGGTGCACTACATCTTGACAATCACTTATCATCAGTGTAGAAGTGAATATTATGCACGCAGGAATTCATTCCGAATAACGTTTCAAAACAATAACAGCATGATTGATGATAAATGTTTTTATAATTAATTAGAATTGAAGTACAACTATAACTCTCACAATCCGGTTTCGATTAGTCCGGATTTACTGTAGTAAAGACCTCGTTTAGTCCGGTTTCATACAGTCCGGGTTGGAGGAACCTATTGCCCGGACTGTGCGAGGTTTTGTTTCAGTAGTGATCAACCCTTGTAAAGAGTGTCATTAAATACAAACGTTGAATTCTCAGTAATCTTTTATCTATTTTCTTTTATAATTACGAATTTTCATTCCAAAAAGTTTCATAAATCTATCCGATTTTTACTTATAAATTGTCATTTCATATGTATTTTGCATTCAAATTTTAAAATTATTTAGTTTTTACTCTTTTTTTTGAGAAATTATTTAGAAATATAATATAAATTATAAAAAATATACTATACAAAATTATTTTCTTTCCTCTTTTAAAGTCCTCGATTAGTCCGGTTTCAAACAGTCCGGGATATTGGAAAAACCGATTGCCCGGACTGTGCAAAGTATTGTTTCAGTAGTGAGCAACCCCTGTAAAGAAAGTCATTAAAACAATGTCATTATGAAAAAAGTTTCATAAATTTATTTTTATCTTTGCTTATAAATTGCCTTTGCATATTAATTTTGTATATAACTATATTATATCTATTAAAATTTGGTACAATTTTAAGTAAAATCAAAAATTATCATTTTTATTTCATAGTCAAGTCACTTTTTGTGCGGTTTTAAAGTCCTTGTTTAGTTCGGTTTCATACAGTCCGGGATATTGGACTATGCGAGGTATTTTTGCTGTATTGATTAACTCTTATAAAGACTATCATAAAAAACTAACGTTCAATTCTAAGTAACATTTTTTTTTGTTAATATTGTAATGACCCTGTTTCATTCATTAACACACATTGTAATGGAAAGAAGCACTTAACATGCGGCTCATCCTGCAAATCAAAATTAACTTACTAAATTATTTGAGTAAATTAACTTATCAATGTTTGATCGACGGAAATTTGCCCGTATTACATAAGATATATAATGTAGATTTTAATTAAATTTTAAAGGTAAAGCAATTTTCGACAAGATTTTGTTATAAAACTTTAAGTTTTAAGACAACGTAACAGAAAACTGTTTTTTTCTTTACCTTTTTGGAGTTTATATGTACATACATAACATTAATTGTGTTTTATTGACTTTTCTAGTTGAAATAATGGATAATTCACTAATTATTTTCTATAATTACAAACAAAATTAAGTTATTTCCTTATTAATTAATTAAAAAAGTATATATATTGAATTTCCCATATAATTTACTTTATTCAGTCAGTATTATTAATTTAATGGAATTATTTCACATTTAATAATTAAATGATTAAACTAAAATTTCTGACAATCATAAATAAAATATAATCATTTTTTAACTAAATTGTAACGTATTTTCATATCAACAGGAAACAGTAGCATTTATTCAACGAATATTTACAAAGCGAATGTAGGTGGGTTTTGTTTACACCAACAAATAAAGCATAAAATATCTAATTAATGTAATACAAACATTTTCAATTATGTTATGAGGAAACATAATTTAGGTGTGCAAACAAGTCAGCTTGTTTTTACAATTAATCAAATAATTAATTTATACTAATCAATATATTAAAAAAAGTAGTAATTATTTTTTTAATATTATCTTTGGAAACAAATATGTTTGTATCTGATTTGCAAATAAAACGTTTAGTGGAATGTGAGTAAATTTTTCAGTTAACATAAATCGAACTTATTTAAAGAAAATTTTGATTATCTAATATTTTTAATAACATATTTTTGCATATATATGAATTAGTTAGTAAATTAATACTTTAGTTTCTTACATTCACATAAAATTAACCAGTGGCAATCGCAAGCCCGACAACCGAAAGACCGTCTATTGAAATCCCGACTATATCGAAATCCCGACTATGTCAAAATCCCGACTACCATAATCCCGACAATCAAAATCCTGATTATATCGAAATCCCGACATTGTCTTTCATTGTTATAAATTTCTACAGTAACATTTTTATGGTAGTCGGGATTTCGAACGTCGGGATTTCGAACGTCCGCATTTCGATAGACGGTCTTTCGGTTGTCGGGCTTGCGATATAGACCCAAAATTACCATTAGAATAAACTAACTTTTTAAATATTTTTGTTGAAATTTTATTTATTTTGTGTTGTTTTATTTTAAATATGATAAAGATTTAATATAATTTTAGTAGTAAAAGTATGTTTTCATGAAACCTGAACCATTCTGAATCATGAAAATAAACGTGTATGACTCGATTGTATATGTTATGTATTTAAATAAATATATAGAAAAGAGAGTCAGTTATATAAATACATGTGTTTATTTATATAAAAATCTAAGTTTTTCTACAAACCTTCACTGCTGCAGCGGTTGTTTTTCATTCTCGAAGAGAGCAATAGTAAATTAATATATTCGAAAGTTTAAATTTGAAATTGGATGAAAACCGTGCCCCGTTTAATGCAACATCGAAAATTGGAGCCATGACACGTTACGTAAAGTGTCGGGAAAAAGGAAGAGAAATCCAAAATAAATTTTAATTAAAGTTAGCGCGTAGAACCAGAAGACTCTCAGAATGTTAATGGTGTTGTAACAGAGAGAAAGAGAGAGAGAGAAAGAGGATCTCGTGTTTTCTTTGCGCGAACAAAAGCTCAAGGTGGTGGCAGCACGACTCTGTGAGAAAAGGGCAAAAGGAGAAGATAATTTAC